GACCATCGAGTTTGCGCACTGGGACAAGGTCAAGGACGCCGAGAGCAGGGGCATCGGAGGCAGGATGAGTCTGGTGGAGCAGGCGGCTTTCTCGGGCGTGCGTCGGCATCGGAGTGGGTGCCAGCGCGAGTGGAGTGCCTCACCCCTCCGCTCGGGCTTTCAGCGCGAGCCCTCTTGCGCTCGAGATGTGCGCGGCATTGGTAGGCGCTGTTCCCGGGGCATCTTCCCTTTGCCGCATCCTTCCGCCAAGTGGCCCCTGGATAAGGCTGCCGCGGCTTCGTTCGCCAGGGGGCGAGGCGGAGGATTGGTCGGAGACGCGGCGTCTGCAATGACGTGCTCCGGTGCGTGGGCGCACTCAGTTGGCTTCGCGACCCTTCGATGACATGTGGTCGCGACCGTCTTGCGCGCTGCGTGGCCCTTCGCTTGCTCAGAGCCAGCGCCATGCCCGCATCGGCGAGTCCGCGCGGCATCTCGGCGCTCCGCCCTCGTCTCTTTCCCCCGCAGAAGCGCTAGCGCAGCTTCGCGTAGCCGGGGCCGCCTGCGCCTTCGAGCAGTCGCAGTTCGGGACTCCTTGCCCGGCGTCAGCTCGGCCCCCGTGCCCCCGGCGGAAGCGCGGGGGCGGGCGGGCAAGCTGAGGTCGAACAGTTCGTTCATCAGAGCGTGCTCGATCCGAGCGTGGTTGCAGCCCGTCTTCGGCGCAGCTCCGTACCTGGTCCAGTTTTGCGCAGCTGCTGCACGAGCGGCACCTCGTCGATTTCCATTTGGGGGAAGGCGTGAGGGCCGGGATGTTTTCCGTTAAGAAGAAAGGTGGGCGTTTCCGCATGGTCGCGGATTGCCGTCGGCCGGATGAGGTGCTCACCGAGCATTTGGCGGTTCGTTTGGCCATTGGCGGCGCCTTCGGTACGCTCGAGATGGCCGATTGGGATGCTTTGCTCACTGTCGAGGGCGCCGGCCTGCTGGGCGCCTTCTACCACCTGGAGCGGCCCGAGCAGCTGCGCTCGCACATCATTCTCAGGCCTGTTCGAGCTAGCGATTTAGGCATCACTCGCCTTGGCGCCGTCAGCCTCAGGGCCTCCACGAGGCTCTGGCCGCGCCTGAGGGTGGTGCCCATGGGCTGATCGTGGGCCATGTGGTGGTGTCAGCCCGTCATGGGGCGAGCGGCCGAGGCCGCTGGCTGTGGGAATGAGACCCGTTCCTGAGACGGCCGCCCGGCGCCGCCGCTCTGGCCCGCCTGCCACCTCGAGTGCGTCGACAGTTTGTTGTTCAGCATGGGCCACGACGCGCTCGTGGTCCGCGACTCCGTCTCGCGCGCGATGGCAGAGCTGAAGCGACGCGGGCTTGGCGTCACCCACGAGGAGCACCTCAGTGACAGCGCGGGCGAGTATGCCGTGCTGGGTTCGACGGCCGGCCCGTTGGCCCGCCCGCGGAGCGGGGCCCGCTCGCTTACCCCGAGGTGTCGAAGAAAATGTTGGACAGATTTCGAAGTCGCTGGGCGTCGCAAGTCGGGTCGTCTCGAGGGCGCGCCTGTCCTCGAGGCCCGCGCTGTCCTCTGCCACGTTCGTCGTGCTCTGAGGGCTTCTCGGAACCGCGGCGAGAGGTGGCTCGTCTTGGGGGGCTTTCTTGAATTGGTCTCTGCGGCTTCGAGGATGAGGGCGGGCCCCGAGGAGGGAGCCCCAGAAGGCCCGCGCTGGCACGCGCTTGCACGGGCACGGGCTTTCACATGCACGGGCGGTTCAAGGAGGGGAGGAGCATGGAGGGCACGACCATGAACGCAACAGAGGGGAAGCACATTATCACGCGCAGCGGCCAGAGCAGCATCACTTACGCACAGAGGCACGGGAGGTGGGGCATGCAGCGGCACGGCGCGGCCCTATGGCAACCGTCAGCAGGGGCGTCTTTGCAGACAGCAGCGCGCTCGACCCCCAGCAGCTTCCAGGCCCAAGTACATTCCATATCCTTCCATACGGTGTCAAAGATGTTCCATTTCGTGCAAGTTTTGCTGCCGCCCGCGATGAGCTCCGGGCTGCTGCAGGGCCATCCTCGCAGGCGGCCCCCGGCGGCCCTGGACGGGGTGCTGCTCGCGCCTGGCCTGGCTCGTTTGACCCCCATTTCCAGCTCGGAGTCGGCGCCCTTGCCTGTCCTCCGGGCCTCGGGAGTGGGCCGCCAGGCATCGAGCTTGCTGGCGACCTCCCGGCAGCGAGCGCGTCTGATCGATGCGTCAGCGTGGGTGCCGGTGCTCGACGCGGCGTCTGCGAGGGCCCAGGCTGGCCGCCAGGCTTGCGTCGATATGCTCGAGGGGGGTGATTTCTTCGTTTCAGCAGCGACGGCGGGCAGTGACGGTTCCGTCAGACCTCGACGCGTCGGTCCGCGACTACATCGGCCACCTTTGACCAGGGTTGAAAACAGACCTGCGCCAACCGCGCAGTAGCGGCAGTGACGTGGAGGGGCCCGCGCTTCGCCGGGACTGGACTGTTCGATCTGCCCCTCGCCAAGCAGGCCGCCCAGGGATGGCGCAACTTCGCGCCGCCCCGCAGAGATGGTCGCGATGGTCATCAACTATCTGCCCCATCATCGCTACATCCCGGAAGCCTGTGCGATCTGGCTCCTTCGAGATCTACGGCCGCCCCGGCGTGATCCACGGACTCCGGCTGCAGGACATCGCGCTGCCGAAGGTGGCGGCCACGGGCGCTCGCCCCTTCGCGTCGGTGACCCTGCGCGCCCAGGAGGCTGGCGAGGCGTCCGAGACGGGGGAGTTCGACGCGCCCATGCTGCTCGATTTCGACAGGCAGACAGGCTTGGGCGCTGGCCTGCTGGCCATGGCGGCGGCGCGGCGCCGCGGAGGGGCGCCGCGGAGGGGCCGCGGCGCCGCTCTTCGCCGTGCGCCAAAGAGAGGCGGCCAACGCCTGGCGCCAGGCCCGCGCGCGCCCTGGGGCCGGCGAAGCTCGGGGCGCCCCGCGTCTACCAGCTTCGCCACTCGGGCCCGAGCCACGACTACGCCGCCGCCCTGCGGGACCTCGAGCAGATCCGCCACCGGAGCCGCTGGAAGTCGTGAAAGTCCGCGCGCAGGCGCGATAAGGGCGGGCGACTGACAGCAGCTGCGCAAGCTGCCCGCCGCGCGGCGCCGCCGCGCAGAGGCCTGTGCGCTGCTGTCTCTAAGCAAAACCGAGCGCGGCCTGCCCTCTTCGTGGCCTCTTGGTTGCCCGACCCGCTAGTGACCCTGGAATCATTTTCAGGCCCGGGAGGTTTTGCCAAGGCAGTCGCCGAGTTAGGGCTGCCTGTGCTAATGTGGGACACCACTCTCGGTGAAAGTATGACCCCTCACGCCCGTGCAACCGTACTCTGATATTGTCACAGGTGCGTGGTGGGCGCGTGAGAGGTCGGCATGCTGGCGTTCTTTGCAACGCACTCACGCGTTGCCGCGACCATGGGGTCGGGGCCGCGCCTGATCGCTCTGACCTCCACCTTCTTGGCCTCCCCAACCTCGAGCCCCATTTGCAAGCGATTGTCGAAGTCTCCAACCGTCTGAATAGTTGCATCGCAACCCTTGCGCGTGCGTGCCTGTCTCAGCGTATCCCCTGGAGCGCCGAGAACCTTATGAAATCCAGGTTCTGGCTGCTCCCCCTGTTTAAGGCTTTAGCCCGGGGAAGAGCCGTTGATGTCCACGTTACTTCCATGTGACAGTGGGGAGCGCCATTGAAGAAGGACACGGGTCTAATTTTCGGCGACCTTAACCCCGGGCCGTTTAGGACTTCTTGGTATATAGGTTCCAGACTGGGCATTTGCAGTAGGACCCATCGTCCCCATCAGCAGCTCCTTGTTTTCTTACCCCAGGGTGGTTCCAAAACCAAGCAGGGAGCTGAGTATCCTCGCAAGTTTTGCGTGGCTTTGGCACGTCTTTATCACAGTGCTGAAGTCACAGTTTCGGCCGAGGTCTTCCAAAGAGAGTTGGTTTAGCGTTTCTCCTTTTACGTCGGCGCCGCCAGGTTGCTCGGCAAAATCGGGAGCATGTCTTGTGATCTTGACGGCGGGGCGTACCCGCCACACGTGTCTTGAGCGCGCTGCAGCGGGGCGGCGGCCCCGACGGCTGATTCTGAAGGCGAGCTCAATCTCGTCATGCAATGACAGGAGACATATTGCTCAGGATTGTCGTGCTTTCACGTTTTCCCGATGCTATGTTGTGGTCCGCCGGTAGGGCATGTCCGCCGCGCGTGTTGTGAGCGTTTTGCAGCGGGGCGGTGGCCCCGACGGATGGATCTTGAGGCGAGTTCAATCTCTGCATGCATTGGCAGCAAAAAGATTGCTCAGAATGATATTGATGATGATGACGAGGCTGATGACGATGATCTGATAATGGGGTTGGTGCTGACAGTGATGATGATGACGATTATGATGATGATGTTGATGATGATGATGATGATGATGATGATGATGATGATGATGCTGATGCTGATTCATGATGTAATGATGACGATGATGACGGTGGTTGTGGTGATGGTGATGGTGCGTATCCAGGCCTCGCATTCTGCCTCCCGTGGATGGGGCCTTTCTCATAGCACTGTCGAACCCATCCGGTGGATGGTGACTGGGATGACGATGATGTCGGTGATGTTCATGGCGATCATTATGGTGACGGTGGTGACGATGTGGTTGATGATTTTGACGTTGGTGATGTTTATACTGAGGATGGGCAGGAGGAGGATCAGCAGGACGGCTGGCACACGCTTCATTTTTCATTTCTTTTTTCTTCACTAGTTCTCATGCAGTCCGAGAGATCACCGACATCAGGCAGTCGGGTTTGGGGACACTTTAGGTAATTTTTGAGCTCTCTTGGGCCGTCTTGGGTCCTCTTGGCCGTCTGGGGGGTCTCTTGCGCCCATCGTCGTGCAGTCGTAGGGCCATCTTGGAGCCTTCGTGGGGCGCTGCGATCGGGCGTGTAGCCAAATCGTATTGTCTTGCGTTCGCGAATTGCATTCGAGAGCGTGGCCACGCCATATTTTGAGGTGATCGGGTCGGACGCCGAGCGCCACTGCGTCGCAAAGCCGAGCAGCGCCAGCGAGCTCCTCCACGACTGCTTGATCCAGTCCTTCATGGGCCGACTCAGGGTAGGCAGCACTATTGGGGTTAAGCACAACGTCGATGAGTGGGGCACGTTCATGCTCTTCAGGCAGCTGCGATCTAAAGGTCCCGACACATGGGTCGTGTGCGACCAGGCCACGAGCACCAAATTCCTGGAGCTCAGTTTGCCCCAGGGGCTGGAGGGCCAGACTTGGAGGCTGCTGAAGACTGCGGACGAGCCACTTTGGGAGCATCCGCGTACTTCTGTCCCGTACAGTTGGGTCAACGGCATGGCAAACAGCCCTCTGATTGGTGACTCGGTCTGGACCTCCTTGCGAGAGGCATTCGAACCAAGGCATGGAGATGTCTGGTTGCCAGGCCCGCACGGGACTGGCAGAGCCTCGGTGCACGCGGCCATCATTGCATTGAAAGGATCTGGTCGGATGGACGACGTTGACATGGGTAAGCCACATTTTGTGGAAATGGCGGTAACCCAGGGTCGGGTTTCTCTGGAAGAGTTCAACAGTGAGGCGCTGGAACCTCACGAGCGCGTTTTCAAGACGTTCAATCCCCGATTGAGTTTGCCTGTAAAGCCGTGGCCGGGCTGGCTACCTGCAGGCATCAAGGTGGTGATCGTCGCAAGGGATCCACGAGACGTCTGTTGCAGCACTTACAGATTTATCGAGACAGCGCAGTGCAATCGCGACCTCCCCTTCTCTGAGTGGGTCGACGTTTTCTGCAAGGCTGAGCTCCACCACATGACCACTGCGGTCAGCACTTACACGGACCGAGACGGCCGCGCGGCATTGTCCCCCCCATATTCTGGACGCGAATGGCCTTGTTAGCAGGGGCCGTCAATAAGTCACCGTAGTTGAATCAGTTCTGACATCACCACGGTAGCGCAGGGATGGTGTAGCATTGCGTGCGCGTCCTTGGAGGCGAGTGTGGGTTTCTCTTCGGACAGCCATGGCCGAGCTTGCACGTTGTATGGATGAGCCTGTCCCGATGGCTCTCCCGCCGCCCGCTGCTGTCTGCGGTGGCGGATGCCAGATCTCGAGCCGATCCCAGAACAATGGCGCAGGCACGCGTATTCATGTGCCACGCGCAGCTTCGCTTGCGCAGGGCGACGCTGGCCTAAACCACCTCAGACATGCAATGGATTTGTTGTAGGTCGTGTCAAAGAATCGTCTGGGGAACTTCCCTGGGGGTAGTTTTTCATCCCTGGTCCGTTTCTGACGGTCCCGCTGCCCGGACACGGCGAACGAACAGCCCTCTGAGGCCAAAAACGGCGAACAATCGAAGGCGACGAAACCAAGATAGACGATTCAAGTTTCTTTTTTTTCCAGGGCATTGTAGGGCAGGCACAGGCACGTGGCGATGGAAGAGGAGGCGGAGGACCAGCTCAGGACCCCAGGGGATGCTGCTCACGATCTCTCGTGGTGGCACGAGAGCGTCCAAGCCTGGCCTCCCGCACCGCGACCAGGGGCGCGGCGAACCACGTCCTGCGCGCCGCGGGGCCCCCTTGGGCTCGGAGCCTTTGCCGCCCCAGGCGTGCCCCTGAGGTTTGCCGGCCTGCCTCCCCCCCCTGCCCTCACCGTTCAACACAGGACGACCAACAGCGACACTGCGAACGGTGTACCGACCGAGCCGTCCGGGATATTTTCCACGCCTCGACGTTGTTAGCGCTACCGCCCAGCTCCGCGCAGGGCCGCCCCGGCGGGTCGACATGGTGGGCGCAGTCTCCAGTCTCCCTTAGCTTTCGCTCAGCCTGCCTCCCCACCTTCCTCCCCTGCCTTTGGGGTAGCGGCTCCTGGTAGGTCGAATCAGCCACCGGTCCTGCTATCTCCTTGATGTTTTCTGGTCTAGCCCAGGCCAATCCAGCCAAATCCAGTTTCTCATCTGGCCAAATCTGTCGCGACCTGGCCAACAAATCCTTGATCTGGCCGAAGCCCCCGAACAGTCCAGTTGAATAGGCCTCAAGTGGGCTCACGCAGAACTCAAGGAGTCGCCATCTACGGTGACGAATTTGTGCTGAGCGTGTCTCGGCGGCGGCGGCCCCTGCGACACGCTGTGCCTCGCAAGCTGATGGCGCGTCGCTCTGCATAGTGGGACGGGAGGCTGGGAACAGCTCAGGACACTGATGCTTGGGGACAGGGAAGTGCTCAGCGAGGTGGGCCAAAACTGGCGACGCGACCGTAATCCTCCTGACCAGCGATGGGGTCTTTCCTGGCGCTCCCTGGCTCCACCCGCCCGCCGGGTCGTCCCTGGACTCCGACCGGCTGGCGGGGTCGGAGGATCTCGCCGTATCGCAGATGCGTCGGCGATGCGGCTCGAAGTGGAGGCCGATGTTCTCCACGCCGACGGCGCCGATGCATCACCGACGTCGCCAGTCGGCGATGCGGCGCGATTCTCCGACCCCACCCTGCTCTGAACCCGTCTGGGAGGCCTTCAGAGGAGCAGCAAGAGCGGAGGGGAAGTGCCCACCCGCCCGGGGCGCGGTCCCCCCGCAGGACTGGTGGAGGGCAGCGCAGGCGTGCCCAGACCAGATCTTGTGGCTAGTCTTCGAAGACATGCTGCGCGAGCCGGAGAGGACGGTGCGCCAGTTGGCCAGCTTCCTGGGCGTCGACGTGACCGACGAGGTCAGGGGCGACGTTTGGGGGGAGGTTCGAGGTTTGAGGCTTTCGGGCATTTCCGTCTGCTCTCGGCGGTTTCCCAGCCTCGGGATGCTTTCTAGCAGCTGCACCTCGCCTAGAGCGTTCCGCGGGTGCCCAGATCGTCCCGAACGGCCGCCAGACCTTCGAGCGATTGCCCGAAAAGCATCAGGGGACAGGCTCAGGGGGGCACGCATCGACCCTTAGTCGACCACTCATGGCCGACAGGGGGCCCGATAGCCCACCCCGCCCAGGAACGAGTGGATTCGCTATGGGGGGCCTGTCGCCGATCTGTGGGCTGCACTTTGTCCTCCTCTTCTTACGTGGTCTCCCCACTCGAAGGGGGGTCGTTGGACAGGTCTGGTGGGCTTTGTCTTTACCCTCCCCCACTTCCCGCCTGGCGAGTGCCATGTTTTTTTTTTTTTTTCCCCCTAGGATCCCCCCCCACCCCTAGCTCTTTTTTCTTTTCCCCTGGAGCTTTTTCTTTTCCCGCAGATCGTCGAGGGACCCAAAACCGTATGACGGCGGACCGCGTGGTGACTTCAGAACCTCCACCGACCTCACCGCGCGGTCCGTCACCGTACGTTTTTAGGACCTCGGAGGCCCTAGTCGCACGAGACTTCCTCGGAGAACGGCCCGAGTCCCAAAAAGGTAACCCCGAATCCCCACTGACTCACCTCGCGGTGTTGACACCACACCTTTTGGTGTTCTCTTTCATGATTCATGGGTGTTTTTTGTTCCCCCCTCTGGGGGGAAGGGGGCGGGGGGGAATTATGGGTGCTAGCGAGGCGGGAGTCACGGGGGAGGCGCCAGAGCGTGCCATCCCGCTTCTGGCGCATTTCGTGCTGCCAGCGCATAAAAATATACAACAGTCAATGGGAAATTCAGTGTCGTCGAACATCCATGATAGATCGCAAATAAAAAGAGAGGGCCGATGAAGATCGTTGCAACAAAAGGAACAATCAAATGCGAAAGTCTATCGTCTACGAACATTTTAAACATCCACCGCCGACGATCATCGACGAGATGTAGACGAACAAGCAACCAGCGAACACCGTTTGAACATTCACAGCGCTGGGCTTGGCGCCAGTGCCGCAGGAGGCCCTCAGCGGGGAGGCTTTGCGGAGAGTGCGCAGCGACGGGGGAGCAGCGTGTGCCGACTGCAACTTCGACCTGGTCGGGCCGACACTGGCTGGCCCGCCCGAAGAGGCTGGCCGCGGCGCTCCGCCCGCAGCAGCCGGCGGCCCCCGCGCGAGGGCGGGGGCCGCCAGGCAGGCCCACGGGTACTCCGCAGGTGCGGTAAAGGGCCCGCCCAGAGCTGGGTTGCCGGATCCACCGCGCTTCCGGCGACCGCCCATGCCAGGCCGATGGCCATTCCGCAGGCGGTCGAGGGCCCGCTCGGCGCTGGGTTGCCGGGCCGCGCTTCTAGCAACGGCCCAGACTTGACCGCCAGGCGCGACGCCGTGGCCGCCTGGCAGGCTTGTGGGCGCCCCGCGGGCGCGGTCGGTGGCCCGCTCGGCGCTGGGTTGCCAGACCGCGCTTCCGGCAACCGAGCTGGCCGCCGGGCGCGCCGCTGGGGCCGCCGAGCAACCCGAACCGCGCTTCGGCAACCGCCCAAGCCAGGCTGCCGGGCGCGACGCCGTGGCCGCCGGCCAGGCTTTTGGGCGCCCCCCAACCGTGGTCGGGGGCCCGCCTGGCGCTTGTCGCTCCTCCGGCAACCGTCGAGACCTGGCCGCCGAGCGCGCCGGCTTCGCCGCCTGGCAGGCCGACGGGCGCCCCGCAGGCGCGGTCGGGGGCCCGACCGACCAGCCCGGCAGGAGCGGCCCCCAGCCGCCGCGCCGAGGGCCATCGCTTCGCCCCTGGGCCAGCCCTGGTGCGCACCCCCCTCGGGCCGCTCCTCGCCAGGCCGACGGTCGGGGACGGCAGGTGGGCGGCTCGCTCCTTCCGATGGCGATTCGGCCTCGGCGCAGATAGTTCCATCCGAGGCAGCTGGTGCACGTTTCCGACCAGCTCATGTCGAGCGGACCTCGCCAGCGGGACTGGTGGGGCAGACGGGCCTTGAAGGGCGGGCGGGACTATGAAGCGAGAGACCTCACCGAGGAAGACCTCGATCGGCAGTGACATTCTAACATTGCCCTCGCTGATCGACGCGTCGGGCGACTGGGTGGGCGGCGGGGGCAGGGTTCGGAATTCGTTGAAAGCGCGGCAAAATCCGCACGCTGCCCCCCCCGCCCGTCGATTCAGGGGGATCGATGGTCGGCGGGGGTTGGGTTCGGATGTCGCCAACTACTCGGCTCGGGCAGGCGCGCAGGGCACGCGGGCGCGCAGGGCACGCTCGGGCAGGCGGATTCTCCCGGGCGCGCAGGGCACGCGGGCCCTCGCGGGCAAGTCGGGTCGGGCGGGACAGCGGGACATTACAGTGTGGGACTTGATCGAGGAAGACCGCGCCTCGGGCGGATGGACCCAGGGTTCGTGGCATGCCGCAGGAATGTCGCAGGCGGATTTGGCCCTCCTCGTCCTCGTCCGCGTTCTCCTCTTCCTCTTCCTCTTTCTTCGCCCCCCCACCCTCCCCCCTTCCCTGTTCCCTTCGTTTCCTTTTCCGTCCGCCCTTCTTCGCCCTCCTCGTCGCCGTCGGCTTCTCTGCTGCGGTCGTCGTCGTCGTCGCCGCCGCGTCGTCGTCGTCGTCATCGCCGTCGGCGTCGTTGCCCCCCCCCCTATCGAGCGGACGCGCGCCTGGCCCCAGGCCCTTTCTAGCCGTCTTGCGGCGTTGGCTGAGGGCCACTGATCGACGAAGAAAACAACTGCATAAAAGTTAGTTGTTGGAGGTCCACGCAGATTTATGGGACCCGCGCTGGGCCCTTTCCCTGGCGCCTCTGGCGCCGCCCCGGGAGGGCTGTCCAGCGCCGATCCAAGAAATCCGCGCGGACCTCCAACAGTTTATGCGCATGCAGTTGTTCGTTCCTCTACCCGGGGTCAACTTCGCGCGAAGCGCATGAGGGGTCCGCCGAAACGAGGGTCCATCCATGGCAAATGGGGCGCGAGCTGACTCAGGGGCGCGCCGGCCAGCGTGGAGATCCATTCAGCCGTCTCCAGTTCAAGGTCGAAAGCGCGACACAGAGGGGTAGCTCGTCAGTTTAGGGTTTAGGGTTTCGCGTTTCGGGTTTAGGGTTTTAGGGCTTCTCTGCGCGCGGCGGCCGACTGTCTAAGGCCATGCTGGCCCCCCTTCGGCAGGCTTGATTGGGGGGGCGTCTCCAACGTCATGAATTTTCCAGGACGTCGACCCCCAGAGGTCTGGACGAATTCCCCTACGGTAGGTTCGTGCGGCGTCGGCACCGCGTGGATCGTTCAACCTTGAATCGATCGCGGCCCCGATCGTTCAATGTTGAATTTCGTCGGGTACAGTGGGCCCAACGTGTCCCTCGGTGCTTCCGCGTCGCAAAATGCAGCCTTGAACGCCTTCGCCAACGTCGCCGGCGCGCCAACGCCGCATGAACCTACAGTAGACCAGCATTGCATACTGAGTCACTTTTGGACGGCCCCTGGGCCCGGCGATGGTCCCCCACGCCAGGCGGTCTGGGCCTGTGGTGGTTGTGGGAACCATGGCTGGGGGACGTGTGCGCCCTGCGCGGCCTGCGAGACCTTTGGCGCCCGTGCGACACGCAGGACCTGTGGGACCTGTGGGGTCTGCGGGGTAGGCCTCTCAGAAGCCTTTTCAGAAGCCTCTCAGAAGCCTTTCCGAAGCCTCTCAGACGCCTCTCAGAAGCCTCGCAGAAGCCTCCCACAAGCCTCTCCGAAGGCTCCCACAAGCCTCTGAGAAGCCTCCCACAAGCCTCTGAGAAGCCTCCTTCAAGCCTCGCAGAGGCTTAGAGAAGCCTTTCAGAGGCCTCAGAGAAGCCTTTCAGAGGCCTCAGAGAAGCCTTTCAGAGGCCTCAGAGAAACCTTCAGAAGCCTCAGCAGGAGCTTTTGGATCGGTTGCAATCCGGTGTTCTCCTGACAGGTTTGTATAGGAATCCTTTCGGTTGCGATCAGTCCGTTTCCAGTGGTTGCATTCCGACCGAAGAAGTTCCTGAACAGTCCGAAGTGGTTGTGATCGGTCTTCCTCCGGGGGGGGGGGGGGGGGGCCGGGAAAAAAGAGGGGACGGGGGGATAGCTTCCACCCAAGGGGGGGGAAGTCAAGCCCCCCTTCCGGGGGGGGGGGAAAGGGGGACAGCTTCCAGGGTCGGGAAAACAGGAGGGGAGGGGGGTGGGGGCCTTCCAACAATTGGGCCTAAATGGAGGGGGGGGTAGCTGAAGCCAAGCCCCCCCCCTTTGCTCGGTCGCTGTGGGCGCGCTCTCGCATTTTCATTGACGTTCGGTAATCATCGATGTTGCTATGATTTTCGTCAGCGTTCGATGTTCTCTGGTGCTTCCTAAAGGATTTCGTCGACGTTTGATTTCGCTCATGTTTCACTGGTTGCTGTCTACGCCTATTCGATGTTATTTGCAATTTCGCTTGTGTTTGTTGATGTACGGTTTTCGTTTATGTGTTGATGTTCCTCGACGTTTGAGGTTCGTTGGTTGTCCACTGGTCTCGTCGACATTTCGTTTTCGTATATTGTCCGAGATGCTTGTTTACATGCGTTGCATTCAGGTGTTTCTTGTTGTGTGTTTCGTTGTTGTTCGTTGACACATGGTTTCCGCAGATTGCGTTCATGTTTGTAGACGTTTGATGTTCGTACAGTTTTCGTTGATCTCCTGACTCTCTCTCCATCCATGGTCACATGATTTCTTGATTCCCTGCGTTCCATGTTCCTCGATTCTCCATCGGTGCTCGTCGACGTTCCATTCTTGTTTTTGTTCCACCAAATTTATGTCAACCGTCGATTTGATGAGATTTTCGTAGACCGTTGATTTTGTTTTTTTTTTGGGGTGATTTTCGCAGGCGCGCTGGCAGCATGAGGTGCACCAGAAATGATATGGCACGCTCAGGCGCCTTCCCAGGGCCTTCCGCCTCGCAAGCACCCAGAATTTCTCCTCCCTCCCTCCCTTCGCAAATCCCCCTTTTGGGGAGTGGAACAGACAACCCGGGTGACCCCCCAAAACAGGGGAAAACATAACAAACCCCTCCAAGGGTGGACAGCTGTACTACACATAGAGGGGATGTCAAAGACTACCTCGCCGACCTACCGGCGATGTATCGCCGATTCCAGTTCGATGTGTCCCCCTTGAGCCGGTCCCCCCCTAACGTTCCTCCTCGCGAGGTTGTGTTGCACGTGTCCGAGATCTTCAGATTTGCAGAGCTGAAGCGGCGCTTCGGCCCCGCTTTAGGACCGCTTCTTCGAACGGGACAGGTGGGCTCTCACAAGGATTACTTCTCTGCAGATGACTATTTAGCTGCCTGCGGCAAGTCCTGCCGCCGTGGAAACCTAGCATTCTTGGTGGCGACTGTTCGAGATGGCGCAGGAGGCCGTCACGTGTGACACCTCTTGTCCCGAAGCTCGGGAGAGATGTGGTGAGGATGTCGAGAATGATCTGAGTGTGTTTGCACGAGTTTGTCTGTATATCCGTGGTCCTTCTCCGTACACGTTACGGTTCTAAACAGCATTCGGGCACGAGCGGTCCATGGCCCCGGGCGTTTTTACCTCGCTGGCGATCGCCTCCAATGTGGGCGTAGCCGGCAGCCTGCTGGGGCGGCCAGCAGCTCGCCAGCTGGGTGGGGTTGCGGCCCACCCGCGCCGCCCGGGCCCGCTGGCCAGAGGATTCACGCGTGCTGTGTCTTGTGTTCTGTATTGTGTGCTGAGATGGAGGAGACACGGTCGGATAAGGTTGACGATGATGATGACGGTGGTGATGATGAGGAAGAGGACGGTGAGGATATTGATGATGATGTTGATGATGAGGATGATGACGACGATGACGACGACCACGAGGACAACAACGACGACGACGACGACGACGATGATGATGATCATGATGATGATGATGATGATGATGGTGATGGTGATGGTGATGGTGATGGTGATGGTGATGGTGATGGTGAAGGCGATGGCGATGATGATTCGATGATGATGATGATGATGATGATGATGATGGTGGTGATGATGATGATGATGCTGATGCTGATGCTGATGATGATGATGATGATGATGATGATGATGACGATGACGATGATGATGATGATGATGATGATGATGATGATGATGATGATGATGATGATGATGATGATGATGATGATGATGATGATGATGATGGTGATGGTCGTGTTACACGTGTCATCTCATTAGCGTTGGAATGCCGCGAGGGTTTTTCCTCCTCGCGAGGGCTCCAGGCGATGCTGAGCCCCCGCGCGCTAGCCGGCCTGGGCATCGCGCACTTCGCCGGCGTTTACCTGGCCCACTTCGCGGTGCAGCCGCCCGCGGCGCCCGAGGAGGCGCCCCTCGCCAGCCCCGCGAAGGCGGAGCTGGGCCGTGGCGCCGAGGCGCCGAGGGAATTCCGGCAGGTGCTGGATACCCTGCAGGAGGCGCTGGGCGACTGCCTGGCCACCAGGGCACCGGTGTGCCCGAACCCTTGCCCCGAGTGCCGCTGCGAGTGCGGGCCTGGGGCTGTGTCGGGCTGGTGGCGCGCGGCTCTTGAGTTCCTGCTGGGGGCGTTGGCGCTTCTGGCCTTGGAGCTCGTCCGCGGGTGCCTCGATTGGGCTCGGCGCCAAGCGGAGCGGGCTCGCGGGCGGAAGGCCTGACCCCCGTGTGCCACGAGGTGGAGGCCAGTATCGATGAAAGTGGGAGATGAGATCTGGGTTGAATATGACGTTGACCCTCGTCTATTGCATGCTCGGCTGTTGTTGCTGGGCTCTGTGCGTGTCCCTGGGGCCTTCAGCGTGCTCACGCCGGATATGGGCGTGCACGTTGAGGAGTACAGCCCCGGCAACCTCGATGTGCGCGGGTACTATCTCAAGCGACCGCGGGGCGTCGGGCCGCTGGCCGTTCCGGCCCCAGGAGGACGGGCGGTCTACGACTTCGCCAACCTGCCGACGCCGCTCGAGATGGTCGGTCTGTTCCAGGCGGCGCAGGTGGCCATGGCGAGCTTCGAACAGGATCGTGAAGCCCTGGTGCCCGTGGCTGGGGGTGGCGCTGGCGGAGCTGGCGGTGGTGGAGCGGCCGCTGGGCTGCTGGGGGGCGGCTTGGCCGCCGGCGCGCCGGCCGCCCACGGCGGCGGCGGGGACGCGGCCGTCGCTGGGCCCTTCGATCGCCGCACCCGCCCCGGGGGCCGTGGGCGGCGCGGGCGCCATGGGCGCGGGGCCGCCTGCCGGCGGCGGCGCCGCCGCTGCCCAAGGGGGCGCCCTGGTCGCAGGAGGGGGCGCACCCGCAGGTGCTCCGGCGCCGGCGCCTGCGGCTGGAGGCTTGGCAGGTCTGACCGCTGTCCTTGCGGGGGCTCCAGGCCCAGGCGCGGGAGGTGCTGAGCCAGCGGCTGGAGGGGCACCTCAGCAGGGCGATGACCTTCGTACCGTGCCAGTGCGCTACGACCGGCAGGGCCAGCGGTACCGTGAGTTCCGGGAGGCCGTGCAGAGCAACCGCTCGACGAGCTTCCTGGACTGGCCTGTGCCGGGCCCCCGCAAATTTCAATGGGTCGCCGAGTACCAGATGGAGCACGGGGGCACGCCGATGGGGCACCATGTTGCCTGGAAGGCCTTGCTGGGTGCCTCCGGCAGCCCAGACGACCCGATCGTGCATGTGAGTCTAGTAAGCTCATGCAGAATCTGTGCACCTACGACCAACTCGACGGGGCCAACCTGGCGAGTGGGGAGCTGGTCGCACGTCAGCTGCAGCTGTGCGAGGAGAAGTACAAGGACAAGATCATCGCGCAGCGCAGCAACGGGAGCCTGCAGCAGGACGAGGGTTTCTTTCCACCGACATGGGCTCAACGCGGGGCATCATGGTCAGCCCCGAGCTCACCAGGTGGGTGGCCGACCGTCTGCAGGCCGAGAGCAGCGTCGCCAAGGAACGGAGGAAGGCCCGGGAAGAGCGTCAGCTGGCCGCCCCAGAAGGCAGCAGCGGCTCAGACCCAGGCGGCCCCGGTCTTCAAAAAGGAGCCAAATCGTGACGAGGACGGGGCGCCCACTCGCCCCGTCGGTGGAGGTGGTTGGCCGCCCTCTACTGACCTTCCCTGGCCTGTGCGTCGCGCTCCGTGGCTCAGATGGGCCGCGGTCGCCAGCGAGACGTCTTTCCTCTTCCCCCTTTTTGCGATCTACCAGCACGGGCAGATGTCTGCCGAGCCGTGGACTGGCGCAAGGGCAGGCTGGCTCACGCGCTGGAGAGGGCCAACCACGGCATCAGATCGTTCAGCGACCTGGCGGGCCGCGGGGGCGCGAGACCCCGCCGCGCCACAGTTTTGCAGTACATGGCGCTGGGGCACGTCCGGGAGCAGTACACCTCGTTCCCAGGGCCGCCAGACACCGTGGGCCCCCGCGGGAGCCTTCGCGAGCTCTGCGGCGCCTGCCCCATGCGCGGCTGGAGCGGGCGGTCTTGGCATCCTACAGCGAGGACAAGGTGTCCTGGCCGGAGGCGGGGGCGGCCCCTGCATGCCCGGAGTCGGCCCGCCCGCCTGCCGACGCGGCGTGGCTGTCGGATTGGGGGGCCAACGTGCTCCGCAGCTCGGAGGAGGCGGCCCAGCTTCGCGCAGAACTTGGATTGCGTTCTCCTTACTCTGATCCTGCTCTTCGAGACCAGAAGGTTTACGAGCGATTTCTCGAGCAGCTACACCGTCGCGGCATGCTCCAGTTTTGCAAGTGGGACGGGGGGGGCGTCCAAGCGGGGGGCTTGCACGGTCCGCAAGAAGGGGGATCGCCATAGGTTTATCTTCGAAACGAGGCTGGTCACCCTCCACTTTCGGCGGGCTCCGTCCACGGAGCTTCCTACCGCTGCGGCCTTCCCGCGCCTGGAGTGCGACGCCCCGGGCCCGGTCTACTCCGCCTGCGGGGACATCGAGAACGCCCTCTACGCCGCGCGGACCCCCCCCAGCTTGCGTCGATACTTCAAGCCGGGGCGGGTCAGAGCTGGCATGGTCGGCACTGATTCTCTCCACGGCGCGGGCGTTGACAGCGCCGAGTAGCTCACCCCTCAGCTCACCATTCTTCCAATGGGCTGGAGCTGGGCGTTGCGCCTCTGCCGGCGCATCCGAGACCGCAGTGAAGGCCTCGCGCTGGGCAAAAGGGATGGGCCGGGGGCTGCGGCCCACGTGGGCAACTACTTGGTGGCCAGGGCCTGCCGCGCCGATCGAGGTGGGCGCCGCGGCCGCGAAGATCGAGTCGGAGCTGGTCGGCTTCGGGTTCACTGCGCAGGAGCAGCAGCGAGCGAGCTCCCGCTGCTCCTTCGTGGGGCTTGAGCTGCGCGGCTCTACGCACAGCGCGCGGGCGTCGCCGAACTGGCTCTGGCGGGTGCGCGACGCCATTGACGAGCGGGTGTCGCGCGCGACCGTGCGCGGGGAGATGGTCGAGGTTCTGCCGGGGCACTGCGCGTGGATCATGTTGCTGCGGCGGCCGCCCCTCGCCATCTTCGACGCCAGCTACTGCCTCTGCCAGGCCGCGCGGGACGAGGCTCTCCCCTTGTGGGCGTCGGTGCGTTGGGAGTTTCGCACTGTGCGGAACTTGCTCCCGACGTTCGCCTCGCACCTCGCTGCCCCTTGGCACTGCGAGGTCTCCGCCTCCGACGCCTCGCCCTGGGGCGCGGGGGTCTGTGTCGGGGAGGCCAGCAGCGACGCAGCGGCGGCGCTGGGTCGCACCGCGGGGAGGTGGCGCTTCCACTTCGACGAGGCCATCAGCGCGCGGGCGCACGCGTTGGGAGACGACGCGGCGGCAACCGCGCTCCTGCGCCCGGCGGCCCTGCCCAGAAGGCCGCAAAGGACCTGGACAAGCAGTTCGGGGAGGTGCCGGCGCCCTTCATGCAGGACCCCAGTTGGGAGATCGCGCTGTCTTTCCCTTGGCGGGAGAAGCGCGACATCTACTACTCCGAGGGCCTTGCCTTGTCGGCCTCCCTGCGGCATGCCCTCTGCTCACGCGGCGCCTTTGGGCATCGGCTGGCGCCGTTGGTGGGCGACCTGTCTGGCCCCGGCAGCGGGCGAGGGGCGAGGTGCGGCGGGGCAGCTCCGCAGCGTTAACGGGAATTCTGCGCGCTGGCCCTGGCCTGCAACCTGCAGCTGCACGCGCGCTGCATGGGCGCCGAGCGAGCTCGACCCGGCCGATCGGCCCTCCCGCGGGCACCTCTTCATCGAGATGCCCGGGGCCGCCTCCCCGGCCAACGCCTGTCAGCAGCAGGTGGCTTCGGAGGCCAGCGCTGCTGGCGCGCCTGATGGCGCAGGTCGAGGGCGGGAAGCGGGGTCGCGTGCCGACGCTGGGGGCCGTGCCCGGGCAGTAGCGCCCTCTCGCCCTCCCGGGAGCTGGCGAGGCGCTGGGGCTGCTGCGGGGGCGGCCGCTGCGGCGCGCTGCCGGGAGGCGGCCAACAAGGTGGCCCTGGAGCCCGGGCTCACCTACCTGGAGCAGAGGTCGATCTCCAAGCCCTTGCTGGCGGACTACCGGGGCGTGCCCGGGCTTTTGTGACGCGGGCCTCCGAGAACCGCCTGGGCTGGAAGAACTCGGGGCAGCTGGACTCGGTCCTCGTAGAGTATTTCAACCTCCTGTACTTCCTCGGGCGCAGCGGCGACGACGCCTCGAAGCTGCTGGCCGCAGTGAAGTTCTCTGTGGCCAACCTCAGGTGGGGCGCGGACAGCCTTCCCCGGTGCTCCAGAGCCTTGGCGGGCTGGGGCAAGTGTGTCCCGCGCCGCTCCAGGCGGCCCCTGCCCTGGCTAGTGGTGGCCGCGCTCGCCGGCGTGCTACTGCAGTGGCACCTCACCGAGCACGCGGTGGCCATGGTGCTCAGCTTTTGCACGTGCATGAGGCCGGGGGAGGCGGACTCGCTGGTCGGGCTGGAAATCGTCGAGGCCGTCGCGGAGGGCAACGACAGCGGCGGCGGCGCGGCGCTGGTCCTGTTCCCGGTGGAGATGGGGGCGCCGAGCAAGACGGGCCTGTGGGACATGACCGCCCCCGTGGACACCGTCAGGTTCCTCGGGCCCTCGCCCCTGGCCCTGCGCAGACGGCGCCAGTCTCTGAGGGGCCGAATATGGAGCTACCCTCCTGGGGACCTGGGGCTGAAGATGCGCGCGGCCGCGGAGGAGCTCGGCATCGGCATGGCCTCTCCTTGCCAGCTGCGGCGCGGCGGGGCCTCCGACGACCTCGTGGCCAGGAGGCGGACCGCCCTGGAGATCCAGGCCCGCGGGGGCTGGGCCAGCCTTCAGTCGTTCCTGCGGTGCGCCGAGCCCGGGAGGATCCTAGCCGAGATGGGCAAGCTGCCCCCTGGCGCGCTGGATTTCGGCAAAGCGGTCGACGCGGCGCTGGCGAGCATCTTCCTGGACGGTGCTCCGCTCCCGCCTGCGCCAGCGCGATCCGCAGGAGGCTGTTTGAGAGCCTAAAACGTGCCATGAGAGGAGTGACGCATCTTGTGAACGCCCGCGCTGTCTTTCTGGAGCTTTCTGCCGGACTCTCGGCCCGGGTTCGGAGTCTTGGCCAGGCCGCGCCCCCCGTGTACCTTGAAAATCCAGGGGCGTCGTTTTTGTGGATCGCACTCGGGTGGCCTGTTGGGCCCCGTACCATCCCCCGGCCTCGCTCCCTTGTCTCTGCCAGGGCCGGGACAGCATGCGCAGCTACTCCCATAAACGTCACATTATTATTACAGGGATCGACCTGGCATGTTGTGGACCCGGCGAGCCGAACCATATTGCAGAACATTTTGTCATTTTTGTTGGAATCGTTCAGCGTCAATTAGACTGGTTAGGCTTCAGCATATTGTCAACGTAGCATTGTTTCTTTTTCGGCCCCGGGTGCGAGGCGTGCCGCCCTCCGTCTTGCCACCCTGGGCCACACCACCAATCGGGAATGGACCTTCTCTCAGCGTGCTGATTCGTTTTCTTCGTGGACGGCTCGGGGGCCATCCGTGTCTCGGGCCCGGTCCTCAGGCTCGCCCAGGCCCCTCGCCCACCCACAGAAAAACACATGTTGTGGCATGGTAGAGCGTTGAGATGGTCGTGTTACACTTGTCATTTCATTGGCGTTGGAATGCCGCGAGGGCCTTTCCTCCGTAATATCTTGGCTTCAGTTCTCTCGCCTCTTCCCTCCCTCCCTCTCGTTTCTTCGGCCTTCTCTCAGCGTGCTGATTCGTTTCTTCGTGGACGGTTCGGGGGCCGTCCGTGTCCCGGGCCCGGTCCTCAGGCTCGCCCAGGCCCCTCGCCCACACACAGCAAAACACTCATTGTGGCATGGTAGAGAGTTGAGATGATTATGATGACGATGTTGGTGATGATGCTGATGCTGATGCTGATGCTGATGATGATGATGATGATGATGATGATAATGACGATGACGATGATGACGATGATGATGTTAATGATGATGCTGATGATGAGGATGCTGACGATTATGGTGCTGATTCTGATGTGGATGAGGATGAGGACGATCCTGATGCTGATGCTGGTGTTGATTGTGGTGGCGGCGGTGATGATGATGATGATGATGATGATGATGATGATGATGATGATGATGATGGTGTGGAGGAGGGGGAGGGGGAGGAGGAGGAGGAGGCGGATGAGGATGAGGATGAGGATGAGGATGAGGATGAGGATGAGGCTGATGAGGAGGGGGAGGAGGAGGAGGAGGAGGAGGAGGAGGAGGAGTATGACGAATAATCATGATGCCGAGGTGGAGATGGAAGAGGATCAATACTATGAGGAGGAGGAGGAGGAGGAGGAGGAAGAGGAGGAGGAGGAGGGGGAGGAAGAGGAGGAGGAGGAGGAGGAGGAGACGGAGGACGAGGAGGAGGAGGAGGCCTGCCGTCACGTATGGCACCTTTTGTCATCACTTCTTAATTTCGGCCGTCTTCAGGTGTGCTTGGCTCCATCGGGCCAGTCTTGGGAGTCCCAGCGTGCCGTATTGTGGCCCTCCTACGTCGGCCTTTTGGGTTTTTGCTTGTTTTGTTTTGAGGATCCTTGGGTCGCGGAAGCGGCGTCTTGGTGCCATCGTTGGGCGATCGTGGCGCTGTTTTGGGCCGTCGATGGGGCCCTATGATGCCGTTTTGGGTCCCTCCATGGGCCCTCTTGGGCCAGGTTGGGGCTGTCATGGGGGCATTGTGGGCCAACGTAGAGTCCTCTTGGGCTATCCTTTGGTTTTCTTGGGGGCCATCTTGCTGCCATGTTGGTGGCTTCTTGGACTAGCTTGCGAAAATCTGCCACACACCGATGGAATCTTGATGATTTCTTTTTTCTGGCACTGTTTGGACCTCATCTTGTCGTCACGCTGGGCCGTCTTAGGAGGCACCTTGGAGCGTCCAGAACCTATCTTGTCTTCTCCTAGGGCCATACGAAGCCGTCTTCGATTCATCTTGGGCTTTCTTGGCCGCCTTAATGCCTCGGCAGAGCCGACTTTGAAGCTGTCTTGGGCATCTTGGCCGCGCTGGAAAGTGCCAGGGACGCGCCGGGCCGCCCAGGGAGCCTCGGGAGAGGCGGGGGGATGCACGCAGCTGGAGGCGTCGAGGGGTGGGGGGGAGGGGCTCTGGCAGACTGCAGAAATCCTGCTCGGCAGCACCCTCCTGCGCCTCAGCGAGCCAGGGGGCACGGCGGCGGATCGGAAGTTCCGCCAGGAGGTGCTCGATCCGCTTCTCCATGCGGGGGTTCCGCTGACGCGGGACGTCCAGACCGACGGCGACGAGGCAATTTCGGTGTCTTGATGTGCCGCCGGCGCCCGCTTGTTTCTCCAGGGCCCTGTGCCGCCTCGCCAGAGCATGACTGGGCGGCACAGCGAAGTCAGCTGCGATTGGTGCAAGGGCGGGTCAGCCCCCCTGTATTGGTGTGTGTGTGTGCTGTCCGTTCGTCTTGACAGGGCGTCGTCACCATAAGGCGAGCGCAACGTCATCATCGGGAGCGCTTCTGTTCGAGGCCTTCCCTCCTCAACCATCCTTTCTCTGCGCTGGTCCGCTCGAGGTCCGACCCTGAGCGCAGGCACTCGGAGCTTGGCCAGCAGAGACTGGCGCATTGGCCGCCGACTCCGTGCCATTCTGGGGGCCCTGGTCGTAGGGCGAAGAGATCTATACGTATCCACTGCCCCTGGCCAGGACTTCAGAGGAGGCAGGGGGTAGAGGCCGCGGCTTGTCCTGGCGAGCCCTCGTCGCCACGGCTGGAGCCTCCTCGGGATTCGAGCCAGGACGCACCCCAGGAGGGTTTCAGGGAGTAGCGGTATCGGTATCTTTGTTGTCCCCCCAGGCCGAGCTTGGGGCCAGGCCAGGAGGGCGAACACGGTATGTGCCGTTCTTGGGCCCAGCATGGGCCTGGCCAAGAGCGGTGAATCTCGTCACACGTTAGTGTCGTGCTTTCGCTGCGTGTCATAGTGTCTGAGCAGCCTGTTTGAATTGTCTGCTCGAGAGGGCGTGCACGCACACCGCCCCTTCGGATTGCATATGTTGTTGCGTGTTTTTCAGCGAGTAGTCTGTCTTGAAGGTTGTTCCTAATTCAGTGAGGCTCGCGCCTACGAGTGCTGAAGCGCTACTGGCTCTTGCGAGCTGTGCTGCAGATGTGCTGCTGACTTAAGCAGGATGGTGCACGAGACGCAGGTAACATCCACTCGTCTTCGTGGGGCACGCCCGTCTGCCATTTTGTCGTTCAGATCAGAAATGTACCTCCCCTTGATGGCCCTGTACATGACATGCTGGATATCCGGAGTGACGAGCAGGGCTTCAGATGTGTTCGCCATTCACTTTAATATACATCTGCTGGAGGAGGACAAGAGCAACACCCAGCATGCACCATTGATGCTGCAATAAGACCTTCCGTCAGGAGGCCCCTCCAAAGTCAGCACACGTGTCGAAGACGCCTACGGCGAACTACTGCGGTTCCCTACCTCCTTGCGCCAGTTTCTTGACTTCATGATGGGCGGGCTGGTCCACATCACAAAGTTCAAGAAAGTCTAGCACGCCAAGCACCCATCCGTAGGCTACGGCGGCGGCAGATCGGAGACGCATGCGGCGAATCACCGCCGCCCCCTGCCTTGTGAGACGAGTTTTATTGAGTTTACGGTTACTTGGGGCGGCGGCGGGTTGGGCCAGAGGCCACCAGAAGTGTTTGTAGAAGAGCCAATATGTGTTGCAAAGTTTGGCACACCAAGCACCCATCCACAGATTTCGGCCGAGGCGTTTCGAAGACGCTTGCGGCAAATCACCTTTTGGAAACGCCTATGTGGTTCAACGTTGGGTCGAAGTCTTGCCAAGCTAGTGGACAGTGTGTTCCCTCAGCCGCTGTGGAAACCTTGGGGAAACACGTGAGAATCGGAGGAGGACAGGAGGAGAAAGAGGAGGCCGCGTGCCTTCTCCTCCGCTCTCTGTAGGAGTCCTCCTCGTCCACCTGCTCACCTGCTAAGAGGCTGTTTACATTTTCGGAAGCAAGGCTAGGCGTCCTGTCCGAGGAGATCCCCACTGGGATCTACCCCCGTGATTTTGCTTCCGAGGCCCGTGGTTGTTTCGCTCGTCTAGATTCCCGCCCGTTATCGTGGATGGGAAACGTATTCTTGTCCACGGCCTCGCGGTTTGGACTTTCTGTCCACGCCCCCGGGGGCACAGGGCGACTTGGGATCCATAGGATCACGTATCCATGAGATCGCGCCCCGGTGTTCAGACCGCGAGGGCACGAGTGCGAATTGGATGGCAGAGATTCTTGGGGACGCGCGTGCCGATTTCGACCCTCAACGTCCCCAGCTGTATCATGTACCAAACGGTGTAGGAATCACGCGCGTTAGCATCTTAAGCGTTTCCTGGAATCGCACGCCAACATCGGCCACGCCAACCAAACGTGCAATTCACATGAGCAATGCCCCGAGCACAACACGACCAGAACATGACGTCAATTACCAATGATCGTTCTCTTCTTATTCATGCTGCCCCTGTCCCTCTTTTTTCCTCACTCTCATCCTGCATCCGCTTCCACTCCACCCTCACCATGGATCGAAGGAGGTCCTCGCGGAATTCTTGGGCCAGCGCTGGGCCACCCATGGCGGCGCCTTCAACGCCGCCCCTGGCGCGCTTCGCGCGCCAGGGAAGAGGTCCAGCGCCGACACGAGAAACCTGCGCGGACCTCTGAAGTGTTCTATGCTCCTGCTGTTTGTTGGTTCTCTCGAGAAGAATGGGGTCCGGAGGGTGACGGGCCGCGCTTGCGCTCCCAGGCCCTTGGAACGTTTCAAAAAAGAGTTGGGATGGGAAGCCAGTCTGGGGGGGAAGCCCCGCGGTGTCATGTATGTATGTATGTATGTATGTATGCATGCATGCATGCATGCATGTAATTTGTATGTATGTATGTACGTATGTGCGAATGTGTGTATGAATGTACGTATGTATACATGTGTGTAGTGTGCGTATGTGTGTATGTACGTATGAGTGTACGTACGTATGTGGTTGTGCATGTGCGTACGTATGTATGTGTGTACGTATGTAATTATGTGCATGGGTTTGTGTATGTACGTACGCATGTGCGTATGTGTGTATGAATGTACGAATGTGTATGTACATATGCGTGTATATATGTATGTATGTATTTGTGTATGTAAATGTGGATGTATGTATGTATGCACGTATGTGTGTATGAATGTACGTATCGGAGGTTGGGGGGTGAGATCGAAGTGGAACGGAGAGCCCCCCTACCGGGAAATCGATTTCTGCAGGAATCCAGAGACCCCCAGCAGGTTTCTTGTGAGAGATCATGCCATTGCTGGTATGGCTCGAGGCAAGCATCCGAAGAAAAGATCTCGCCATGGTAGCGGAGCCGTGGTCCCGACCCTCCCAGTCCACGGGGTCGGGCTCCGCGGCTCCCTCTCCCGCCAGCGGCGCGGAGAGCCCCAGCAGCCTGGGGCCGGCCGCCGGTGCGGGAGCCGCAGCAGGGCCCGCCGGGCCAAGCTCCAGCGGCGGCGACGAGTGGGAACTCGTCGAGGTCCATCGAGGCTGGAGGAGAGTGGCGAGGCAGCTACGCAAGCTGTTCAGGCTGAGGAGGACCTGGGCAGCGCTGGGCCAGCACCCGAAGGATTTCACGAAGCTGCGCGCGAACCGCCGCTGAGATGGCGGAGGAGCGCGTGCAGGCTCTAGAGCAGCAGATGATAGCGCTGGCCCAGGAGCTGCAGAACCGCCAGCAGAGGGAGAACGATCTCACGGCCGAGGTGCAGCGGCTCGGCCGTGTGGCCGAGGCTAGACCACGGGTGGACGGGCCTGTGCTACAGCCTCGAGCCGAGTCGCTCGTGGACACTCGTACGCTGGGCAAGCCAGACGGGTTCACGGGCGAGGAGCACAAGTGGAACGATTGGAAGGTGATCTTCAAGGCGTACTGTGGCGTCGTGAACGCCGACTTGCTGGCAGGGATGTGACTGGCAGAGAGCGCTGACGAGGCCTCAGTTCAGAACGATGACTTCCTCGAGGAGAACATGAGGCAGGCCTCGCAGCAGCTGTATTACATCTTGCTCCTCCTCTGCCGGCAGCATCCCCTGACGACGATCGTGAATGCTGTCGAGAATGAGGGCTTCCAGGCTTGGCGCAAGCTGGTTGAATACTACGAACCGAATGCGAGGTCCCGCATCGCGGGGCAGCTGCTGAATCTCCTGACCTTCTCGTTCACTGGCGATGTCGAGGACCGGCTGGCGCTGTTCGAGCGAGAGCTTCTCAGGCACGAGCAGAGGAGCGGCGAGGCCATCGCAGCCTCTATGAGGATCGGCGTCGTCCTTCGGCAGCTCGAGGAAGGCCCTCTACGCCAGCACCTCTTGCTCAATGCGACCAGGCTGGTGGAGTGGCAGGACTTCCGACGTGAGGTCACCGACATCCGCTGTGCCCAGAGCGCCATCGCCCCGGTTGCCCGTGCCCATGGACCTGAGCGCGTTCACCAAGGGCGACGGCAAGGGCAGGTTCAAGGGCGACGGCAAGGGCAAGAGCAAGTCCAGTGGCAAGGGCAAGAGCAAGGGCGACAGCAAGGGCAAGTCCAAGTCCGACGGCAGGAGCCAGACCAGCAGCAAGTCACATGGTCAGCAGCTCGGGCCACTCTGCTGGGGCTGCGGCGGTCGCGACCGCACCCGGCGCGAATCCCCGAGCAAGCACAGGGGGACGTTGGCGAGCATGGAGCAGACGCTGGCTCGCATCAACGCCTCCCACTCGACGAGTACGACCGCGCCATCGGCGGCCAGCTCTATCTCGACGGCTGCGACTACGAGGCTGAGTCCGGCGACGGCGATGTCCGGCACGAGCTCTCGACAGGTCGCAGCACTTTACCTGAACGACGCGGGCGAGCAGGTCAGCTACCCGTTCGCGAACCTCCACTCCCTCAGCATCTACGACCCGGGGCCGGACAAGGCGGACGTGGTCGACTCTGCGACCGGCGCGGCCCTGGACCTGAACATGATCCACGGCAACTCGGATGCGGAGGAGGTCGAGCTCAACGGCATCTTGCGTGTGGGCATCGACTCGTGTGCGGCGGCATCGGTGCTGCCGCGTGGCTCGTGCACGGACTACCCGGTGCACGAGGGCGGCCAGGCGATCTCGTACAAGACCGCCTCTGGCCACTACGTGAACGACGAGGGCGAGAAGATCCTCGTGGGGGCGATGCCTGGGGCTTCTCAGGCACGCGCTGCCAAGTTCAGGGTGGCGGACATCAGCAAGCCGTTGCTGAGCGTCGCGGAGATGGTCGACTCTGGCCATCGGCTCGTCTTCGACTCGGAGGGCGGGCAGGACATTAGCTACGCGTACCACAAGACCAGCGGAGACGTGGTCAAGTTCTGCCGCAGGAACAAGGTCTACGAGATGGATATGCACGTCGACCCGCACGTGCCGGAGGTCTGCCCGGTCGAGGTGGCAGGCCACGAGCCTCCCGAGGGTGAAGCCGGCCAGCCAGGCGCGGCTCACGAGGAGGTCGCCGAGGGCCCGCCGGCACGGCCGGCGAGGGAGCCCGCGGCGCCGACGGCGGCCGAGCGAGCCGCGCACGAGGTGCTGCACGAGCCCTACAGGGCATGGTGCCGGGAGTGCGTCTCCGGCAGAGGCCTGTCTGCAGGCCATCAGACGAAGGGCCGCCAGGAGTCGGCGCTCGCGGTGGTTGGCATCGACTACGGCTACCTCGGTGAACGAGAGGACGCCACGCCGCTGCTGATCGGGAAAGATTCGAAGCAGCGTTGGTTCCACGCGTCTGTGGCCCCAGCTAAGGGGGCGCAGCATCCCTGGCCGGCAAAGTCGTGGTCCAGGAGGCTGGCATCGGCTGGCCACAAGCGCTTCGTCTTCCGCTCAGACGGCGAGGCGCCGCTCGTCGCCCTGAAGACCCGCATCGGGGCCAAGCTCAAGGAGGAGTGCGGCATCGAGACGGTGCCCGAGGAGAGCGCGGTCGGCGACTCTCAGGGCAACGGCCTGGCCGAGCACGCGGTGCGCGAGGTCAAGGCCAAGGCGAGGGCGGCGCGGGCGCAGGTGGACGACCTCCACGGCGTGAGCATTGGCGTCGAGCACCCAGTGACCCCGTGGATGGTCGAGTTCGCAGCCATGTCCATCAACCTGGGCAGGCGGGGCGCTGACGGCCGCACGGCTTGGGAGTTTCGGCACGGCCGCCCTTTCAACATGGACCTGGCTTGCTTCTCGGAGAAGGTCCTGTATCTCCCAGGGGGCAAGCGCAAGGCTGGGATCGAGGACAAGTTCCTCGCTGGGCTCTACTTGGGGCCCACGCTTCGGACGGGCGAGGTCTACATTGGCACGGAGTTGGGCGCACTACGGGCCAGGACCTTCCAGCGGTTGACGGTCGAGCAGCGGGCCGACAAGGACCTGCTGAACAGCCTCGCGGGGAAGCCGTGGGCGCCGGTGCCGACGGACGTCGAGGTGGACGAAGTACCGGTGGCCATCGAGACCGAGCGCCGGTGCCAGCGCCGGTCGCGCCTGTGGGCGGACCTCTGGCGCCCATCCCTGAGGCTGGGGACCTCCCGCCCCGGGCTCTCCGAGTCGGGCGACCACCAGCAGGACCGCGAGCCGTCTACATCAGGAAGGACGTCGAGATCGCGAAGTACGGGCTCTCCCCGGGCTGCTACGGCTGCGCCGCGATCCTCAACGGCGCCCGAGCGCAGGCCCACTCAGCCAAGTGCCGCGCTCGGATCGAGCAGGCGATGCAGGACGACGAGGAGGCAAAGCAGAGGCTCGAGGATGCCCGTGAGCGGAAGCGGCATCGCACTGACGTCGCCGGGCCTGTCTATCAAGAGGGCGGCTCGTCAGGCAGTGGCGGTCCAGCCCCAGCTCAGCAGGTGCCGCCAGCACCCGAGGCCGCGGCGGCGGCTGACGTGGCGATGGCTCCGGCACCACACGACCCCGGCGACGACAATATGCAGGAGGAGATCGGTGCCCTCCTGCTCTCCCTCGGCTACAGCGGGCGCAAGGCCGACGTGATGGAGGTCTTCTGCCCGAATAGGATTGTGGGCTTTGCCCCCCTCTTCGGTCTGGTCCACGGCGGCTCGTTCGACCTGAGGGTTGGCTGGGGCCTGACCGACCGCCAGCAGCAGCGACAGTGCCGGGAGCTGATCGAGCACGTCGAGGTGTACTTCTTCTTGGGCAGTCCTCGCTGCGCGCCGTTCTCCATGCTGAAGTACCTGAACGAGGACACGGAGAAGCAGCGCGAGGCCTACGCCATCGGGCACGAGCACTTGAGGTTCGCGATGGAGCTCTACACGCTGCAGGTGAAGCACGACCGCACGTTCTTGCACGAGCACCCCTGGAGCGCGGACAGCTGCAGGACCTGGACATCGTGAAGGATGTGATGGCTCTCCCGGGTGTCGAGGTCGGGCGAGGCGACCAGTGCGTGCTCGGCCTGGTGGTTGCGGACGCGCACGGCGACAGGCTCGCCAAGAAGCCGACAGGGTGGATGAGTAATAACAAGGAGGTGTTTGATGAGGTCTGCAAGCGCTGCCCCAATGATACCGGCATTGGCAGCCGCCACGAGCATTCCACCTTCGTCGGCCGCAACATGTGTGTGGCGGAGAGGTACCCGGTCAAGCTCCTCCGCGCCGTCCTCCGTGGCCTCCGCCGTCACCTTAGCAACAAGAAGGTGCTCACGCTTTCGGCCCTGGATGCTGGGCCGAACGTGGACGATGAGGGGATCAGCCTGAAGGACTTCGTCGGGAAGTGGCGCGACACGCTGAGGACCGAGTTCTACGACGACCTCACCGGCCTCCCGCTGGACCCCACGCGGGTGAAGGCCGCGAGGCGCCTGGAGATGGATTTCATGGCGCAGCTTGGCGTGTGGGTCTACGCGAGGGAGGAGGACTGTCAGCGCGAGCTTGGACGGAGGCCTCTCAGTGTGCGCTGGGTTGATATCGACAAGGGCGACACCGACCGGCCGGATTACAGATCCAGGCTCGTCGTACAGGAGACCAAGGCGCAGAGCACCATCGCCGGGGACGACATCGGCGCGGTGTTTGCGGCGACCCCGCCGCTAGAGTGCCTTCGGCTCATCTGCAGCATGGTGATGTCGAGCGACCCGTCCGAGGGCCGCGTGCTGCGCTTCCTGGACATCTCGCGGGCACACCCGCACTGTGAGATCAAGAGGACGGTCTACATCAAGCTTCCAGAGGAGGATCCGATGTCGCAGGAGATCGGTACGTGTGGGCCCCTGCGGATGGCGCTCTACGGGACGCGCGACGCTGGCCAGAACTTCGAGCTCACGACCGCCGAGACGGTCATCGGTGCTGGCTGCGACCAGTCGGCCTTCTCGCCCTGCGTGTACTGCCACAAGGACCTCCAGGTGAGCCTCTTCCACCACGGCGACGACTTCGTGCTCGAGGGCCCTCGGGACGGGACGGAGTCGATCTGCGAGGCCCTGAAGACGAAGTTCATCGTGAAGGACAGGGGCGCGCTCGGGCCGGCGCCTACCGACGCAAAGGAGATCACGTGCCTCAACAGGGCAATGCGCTGGCGAGACCGATGGCGCCAAGGGGGCGAGGCCATCGAGTACGAGGCGGATCCCAGGCACGCGCAGATCTTGCACGCGCAGCTTGGAATGGACCCCCGCACCACGAAGTCATTGAGCACGCCAGGGCTGAGCCAGAAGCTTACACCTGAGGTCGAGCGCGAGCTGAACGAGCACGAGGCGGCAGAGTACCGCAGCGCGTGCATGAGGCTGGGCTACTTGGCGCTCGATCGGCCAGGGGTGCAGTTCACGGCCAAGGAGTGCGCTCGCGGCATGCAGAAGCCGACAGAGCGACACCTCCGCCTCCTGAAGCGCGCTGGACGCTTCTTGATCGGGGCGCCGAGGGCCATCTGGAAGTGGGGCCGACAGCGGGCACCCGCAGTGATGGACATCTACTCGGACACCGATTGGGCAGGCTGCCCGATCACGCGGAGGAGCACCAGTTCAGTCGTGATCAAACATGGGCAGCACCTGATCGTGACGGCATCGACGACTCAGATCCCCATCTCCATGAGTTCGGGGGAGGCTGAGTTCTACGGCTGTGTGCGAGCGGCCAGCAGGGCCATCGGCATGCAGTCACTGTGCCAGGGCCTAGGCAGGGACACGAGCCTTCGCATCTGGAGCGACTCGGCAGCTGCTCTTGGCATCATGCAACGACGAGGCTGCTGCAAAGTCCGACACCTCGAGACGCCGACGCTGTGGGTGCAGAAGGCACTCAAGGACGGACTGTTTCAACTGGCCAAGGTTCCCGGGAAGTCGAACCCGGCGGACCTGGGGACGAAGTTCCTCGACCAGGCGGCGATGCTCCGAGGGCTGGAGATGATGAGTGTCAAGCTCTCGGACGCGCCCCTCTCAAGTGCCCTTCAGGCGAAGGTCTGAACCAAGGGCACGAGCGGCCATTTTGGCTTGGCCATTTCGGCCTGCAGTCTTTCGCTCCGCGCTGTCATTGCCTTGGACGGGCTACGGCCGTCAGCGCGGCTATTGCGTGTACTTTGATTGCAGCGCTCGACCAACGCCGTGGTCCAGAGCGATGTGCACTGACAATGAGTTTCGGAGCTTTTCAGGGTTCGAGTATCGTGCCTGGCTGAAGAGCTAGGCGGCACGAAGGGGGCTGCAGGAATCCAGAGACCCCCAACAGGTTTACTGTGAGAGATCATGCCATTGCTGGTATGGCTCAAGGCAAGCATCCGAAGAAAAGATCCCGCCAATTTCGGTTTCGTGTTCGTGCGTGCCGTGCGGACGAGGCGAAGCTGCATGGGCGGGCGAGAGGAGAGTCTCCTGTGGCTGAGGCGCGGCCGGACCAAATGATTCTCCGCCGGGCGGCCGGTGGCGCGCGGTGTCCCACCGGTGTCCCGCCGGTGTCCCGTCGGTGTCCCGTCGGTGTCCCGATGATGATGTTGATGATGATTATGACGATGATTATGATGATGTTGATGGTAATGATGATGATGAGATGATGTTGATGGTGGCGATGATGCTGATGATGTTGATGATGATGATGATGACGTCGATAGTGATATCGATTGTGAGATGGGTAGTGAGACCGACTGAGACAGCGAATGAGGTCTTCTCTCAGGTTCTCTTCCACCACGCACAGTGTTGCGCTGCTTCCGGGGCCGATCCACGGTGCAATGTCGCGCCGCACCGAGGCCCCTGAAGGACGTAGAGAAGGCCCCCGTATCTTGATTATTGTTTCTGGAGAGCCCTGCTCGCGTTCGGGCCCGTGCCATCTGAGTAGGGGCAGAGCAAGAGGTAGATCGAAGCTTTCCGCTTAGCGGGTTCGGCTCAAGCAGGGTACCTCGTCCTTGCCGCGCCACTCCCGCGCTCGTTTTGATCCGCCCAGTACAGGCTAGGCTTTGCCAGCCGCTCTCCCCGAGCGCGCGCCGTTCCTTCGGGCGGCCGCGCGGGCGCCATGGCCGTCCAAGCGCATCTGTTGGAGCACCGCGTCCATAACATTTCGTGGCACACCGTCCTCAATAACCATTCTTCCACGCGCCCGAAGGTGCACGGGGGGCCCGTGGTCAGCTCCGTCAAGAACTTCAAGGAATTCGCTGCGCCAGGCCTTGCCAGTGCAGAGTGGCGGTGCACCCTGACTTTGCCGAACAGCTTTGCAGCGGGAGATCGATGGCCGTCGGGTTGAGGTCACAGGGAAAGGCGCAAGCAAAAACGAAGCGTCGGGGATCACTTGCCTTCGAGCCGTCGCTTCGCTCATCAGCGAGTCTCCGAAGGATTTTCTGCTCCGACCTGGGCACTGGAAGGCATCGCTGGACCGGCTGGTGGCCAATTTGCCCGGCGCCGACGCGGGGCACCAGGCTTTGCCAGCGCGCGCCCCTGCGCGCCTCCGGGGTGCCGGCGAGGAGGCTGGCGCGCTTGACGCTGACGCGCGCGCGGTTGCACTTTTGCAACAATGCCTGGACGCGCATGGTGGTGAGTTCGATCCATCTCAGATTTCACGCAACAAGATGGGGTTCAAACCGGAGGACGAGCGCGCGTACCACGAGTTCAACAGGCTCTCGGTTCCTGGGGGGGCTCAAAGCTTTCATCGAGAGCCGCCCCGAGTTCACATGGAGGCCCAAGGGCAAGACGGGAATGGTCATCGCACGGGCACAGGGGGCGCGGCAGCTCGCGTTGGACAACGCGCCGCCAGAGGACGACGCGCGAGCACCAGGCTTTGCCAGTGCATCGGCCAAGGAACAGGAGGAGTGGCGCTGGACGCCCAAGGAACAGGAGGAGTGGTGGAGCAGGACACCCAAGGAAAAGGAGGAGTGGTGGAGCTCGCAGAACGCCAGCGCCACGGCCGCCGCCGTCGGCCCCAGTTCCGAGGTCGCGACACCAGGCATTGCCAGTGCATCGGCCGCCGCCGTCGCCTCGGGCGCGTCCGCCACGCCTTCAACCGGGGAGTGGCTCAAGGCCAACAACCCGTACTGTGCGAACGTGGAGTGGCGGAGCTGGCAGAATGCCCGCGCGTCGGCCGCCACCATTGGCACGGCAGCAGGGGCGCCTCCCCCGCGCGAGGACTTCATAAAGATGCTCTCCGACGGAAGGCAGCTGCGGAGGCCGTTAGAGGGAAATCCATGGGGCGAGTTGTCTTGACTCCCAGTGTCTCGATCGCGCCGAGCAAGACGTAAGTGCAAGGGGGGGCACGGGCTGCGCCAGGCTTTGCCAGCGCTGCAGTACTCTGTGGCCAGATGAGTCACACCTTCGCCGGCTTTCCAGCCGCCCGCCCTGTTTCGGCTGACGGTGCCTTCGGATGTCGGCGCGAGCTTCAAACGGCAACGAAAAAGGAGTGGCGATGACGATGCGTCGTCGTCGACAGCCGATCGGCCGCGTTGCCCCGCTGGTGTCCGTGCCCCGCTGGTGTCCCGCCGGTGCCCCGCCAGCGTGGTCAACAGTGGGGTCGCTTGTGCGATCGAGAGTCAGACCGATTGTGATATCGATAGAATCGTATGGCCTTCGCCCCATTCCGCCACCGAAGGCCTCTCGAAGGTTGCGGGGAGGCACCTCTGAGACTCGTCGGGGGCCATTTCAAGAGCCTGTTGGGGCCTCTTGTTGGCCTCTGCGGGGCTTGTGGGGCCTCTTGGGGCTCTTGTGGGGCCTCGTCGGCGTCGGCGCCCTCGTCGTCGTCGTCGCCGCCGTCGCCGTCGCTGCCGGAGTCGTCGTCGGGGCGTCCCTGCAGGTTCCCTTGGGAACTCCTGAATCGTTCCCGGGGCCTTGTTGCATCATCATGCCGTGCTGTATGCTGTGCCGTCGTTGACGCCGTCAGACCGCAGCCCATCGCGGTTCTGTGTTCGGAGAGTTCCCGCGGACCTTTGGCCGGTCCCGCGGCCATGGCCGGCGCCGCCCGCATGTTCAGACATGCCCCGCCTGTGTCCCAGGGCCAGACTTTGCCAGCCCCAGGGACAGAGGCAACCTACCTGGGCTCGCGCAGACTCGCGCAACGATACGAGCACAAGGGAAATTCCTTTTCGGGCATGGTGGAACTCCATCCTCGGTGCCTGCTGACTCGGGAGGAGTTCAAGACGAACTTGCTGGCAGCACCAGGCGTGCTGAAGGTCTCTGTGCTTCCAAAGATCTTTGTGGCCACTCGGCGTTTGGGTTGGCCAGTTGGGGTTTCGGGGAGTCTTCGGGGGCCTCCTTGGGAGGGGCCATCTTGAGCCATCTCCGGTTATCTTGAGCCATAGTGGAGGCCATATGGGGTTCCCCAGGGCTGCTTACGAGGGCGACCCTCAGGTCGTGGACAAGAACTCCAAGACCTCGCAGGGCAACCGAGGCAACCACGTCTTCGAGCAGAACCTGGAAGTCCACCTGCACCGCGAGCCCGATCTAGCTCTGGAGTTCGAGATCACGCGGAACAACCACATGAAGCACATGGAGGGGCGCCCTTACACTGAGACAGCGATGTTCAAGGACCCCCCCCAAAAAAAAAACGGCATCACTCGTCGGCGTGGCGCGTGCTCTTGCGCGCCGTCAAGGGCCGGGAGCTCCTTCCACAGCATGCCCGCGACTACTGCAAGACCTGCCCGACGAGACACGGTACCTGGGAAGACGACGTGCTCCCAGAGGGCCTGGAGGGGATCCCGCTTGAGCCAGGCTTTGCCAGTCCTGCGGGGTCTTCCAGCTCTCCGACGCAGGCACCAGGCCTTCCAACAGCGCCAGGCCTTGCCAGCTCTCCGACGCAGGCACCGAGTCGCAGGCCAACGTTCCCGTATCCTTTCCAGAGCGCTCCCGCGACGCCCGGGGGCCAGGCGACCGCCTCTGCGGCGCGGGTGGAACCCTGCCCCACCGAGTCGGCCTCAATGAGTCAGGGTGGCCGCGGGGTCCCGCTTGAGCCAGGCTTTGCCAGTTCTGCGGGGGTGGGGGCCTCAATGAATCAGGGCGGCGCGACTGGGCCTCCTGCCAAGAAGATTAAAGCGGCGCCTGGGGGTGCCGCGATCGCCCCTGCGGCGCAGGCGAGCGGAGGGGCGCGTCAGGCCCCCTGCCCGGAGGGCCTCAACTACTGCGAGGCCGGGGTCGCGGAGCTGAGAGCGTTCGAGCGGGGCGGGAACATAGCATCGTTGGTCGAGGCCCAGGACATTCTGCTCAAGGGGATCGAGCGCATCTCGGACGTCTTGCCTGAGGGGCGCGATTTGGACGGCACCGAGTACGAGATGCTAGGTGCGGACTTCCACCGCTTCGCGGGGATCGCGGAGGATGCGCGCGCGCGCGTGCGGACCGAGTTGGAGGCGGCAAGGAGGCCAGCGCGCGGGGAGGAAGCGGTGGCAGGCGACAGTCTGTGACAGCGTATCCGCGGCTGCGGCCAAGGGGCTCCCAAGGTTTGCTGTCAGACTTACGCGGCTGCGGAAGAAAACGAAGCGACGCGGCCGGGGTGCGGCGCCAATCCCTGACAGCGCGTCCGCGGTTGCGCCCAAGACGCGCCCGAGCATTGCTCTCAGACCCTCGTGGCTGCGGGTGCGTTCTCAGAATGAGAAGCAGCACAACCGGGCCCGCGACAAAGACCCCAGGAGGAAGCAAACGAACCGTTTCTCAAAAGCTAAACGGCACGCGGAGGACTTCGGAACAAGAGATGCCCAATATACCAAGGTCAAGGCGCAGAGAACCTGGAGAGCCGAGCGCCGTGCCGCGCCGACCCAGCGCCAGAGCGGATCGCGCAGAGGCTCAGGGCAGGGGAAGCACCTGGAAGCAAGCAGCCGAACAGTCGGCCAGGCTTTGCCAGCGCGACGGGCCAGAGCACTTGCCGCCTTGTTACGCCGGGCTGGACCAGGAGCCCGCTCGCAGGCTCACATCCGAGATGTGCGGGTGCCTCGAGGAGGTGCAGTGGGCCACTTGCGTAGTGTGTTGGCGGGCCTGGTACCCGGGTTTGAGTTCTCGTGCACGCAGCA